AAATGACTGCTACAGCAAGGAGCTTAAACAAGAGACAAACCATTAAAGAGAAGCCTGAGACGCTTTGCGAGTTAAAGAAAGAAAAGTCATGCACATTTCTTTGAAAGAAGTATGGGATAGGTCGGTCTATTGTATTCTGTGCTGCATTTCACTTATTCTAAAAGTACACAAAGGTGTTCAGATAATGGAGGACCTACTGTATTATTATTAATTATTATTAAATTATTACTAATAAATACTAATAAAACTAATTCGTCCCTTCTTTTTTATTATAGGTTAATATACCAGACAATGTCAGTGAGAGATATGCTCATTCTCTCTCAGTTTGGAGTGTGACTCCAACCACTCACTGGATAATTGTGTTTGGAGGAAAGAGGAACTTTTCAACAAACATAAGTGATCCAGCAGTTATTGAACTCAGTGAGTACATGTACATGTAGATTTGCTTATTAACTAACTCAAATAATTGATTATAATAATATTGTGTTACTGTATAGGATATACTAGTAATAATGATTGGTCTACTAGTATAATACCTCTGGACCAGTATCAAGAGAAACTACAAGAAAGGAGAAGAGAATGGGAAGCATCTCAACCTGTTCAACCTGAGGATCATAGTAGAAGAGAAATAGACCGTCTGACACATGTACTACAAGAAAGGGAAAGGGAACTAGAGGAGGAGAGAAGAGAATCTCACTGAACGTTGTCTGCTACAGACAAACAGCATCCAGCAATATCTGTAAATAGTTTCAATTACTTTTAATTTTTCATTGAGCTATGATTAAATTAATTTTTATTTCTGGCAAAAATCAAATCAATGCCACACCTTGATTATGTGACGTCATAGAAGGGCGTTACCTCCAAACAAAATGGCAGCCAAAGCACCAGGTCAGTATTTTGTTTATACTTGATTATGACTCGTGTGTTGTTACTATTAGTGTATCATTCAGTTACTGTTACCTCTTGTTATCAATAGACTATCAACCAGTGGAGAGGGAGAATCACTCCACTGTACGGGTAGGAGACTACCTGTACATGTGGGGTGGGGGCCAGCCTGGTCTCCCTAAAGTACATAATAATGAAAAGAAGAAATCAATGTGTTCTGTGATGGAGGTGTGTCACCTAAGGACTGGTAGGTGGGAGCAGAAACCCACCACTGGTAGCCCTCCACTGGGTGTTAGGGGCTATGCAGCTGCTGCCATTGGAAGGGAAATATTTTATTTCGGAGGATGGTGTAATCATGGTGACTGTTATCATAATAGTTTATACAGGTAAAGATGATATTTACTAATAAATATTATATGATATTTTATACAGTTTTAATGTTGATACCTTCAAATGGAAGGAACTCTCTCCTACTACATCTCATCATGGTCCTATGATGAAGCAACTCTGTGACATGATAGCAATAAAAGTGAACAGTGAGGACTATCTTGTAGTAATTGGAGGATGGGCATCAT